GAGCCGCTGCCGGGACGTCTCGCTTCGGTACTGCTGACCGAACTGAAGGGTTGTGTCGGTGCGTGTCGGTGCGTTTCAGGCGTCCCTTTTCCCAAGAACTTCATGTCGGTGGCCAAGACGATCCTGAAGCGGCTGTTCCGCGTGTACGCCCACATCTACCACCAGCACTTCGATTCCGTCATGCGGCTGCAGGAGGAGGCCCACCTCAACACCTCCTTCAAGCACTTTATCTTCTTCGTGCAGGTGAGTTGCGAAGCGGTGGCCGGTCGCCTGCCCCTGGGGTTTCTCGTTCCCCGTTTGCTTTTAAAGGGAGTCGGATTTTAAGCGTCTCCTCGCCCTTTGAAGATCTACAGCTGTGGCGTGCGCTGGAAGGCGTGCTCGCCTCCCACCCTCCGTACCGTGCGAACCGTGCAGCTGCGGCGGTGGGTTTTGGGGTTTTTTTTTTTGGCAGGAGGCGTGACCGAGTTGGCTGTAAATGCTTGAACTTCCCTCTCGGGTTTTAGCTATCGGCCCGTAGCAAAAGAAACCAGGCTCGGAGGAGAACTTGGGGGTTTTGTAGCTCGAGAATCGACTCGGAAATAGCAGCAGCACCTATTTTCTTTTTTTTTTTTCTTCCTTTCTCAGTACTTTGACAGCCTGTTCCGTGACCGCGCGTGCAACTCATTGTGCACAGCAGCGTGGTTATTTCTCGGTGACGCGGCAGAAAAAGTTTTGTTGTCTTGAATTTCGCTAGAATTTCTCCAGAGAAACTGGAGAGGCGGCTGCCGCGGTGATGCCTGTTCGGCGTTGCTCTGGGGAGCCGGCACGCGTCGACACGGCGAGTTCCCAGCACGTGTACGGCGGCCGGACCTGTTCTCCAGCAGCTCTTTGAGAGGTGCCTTTAGCTTTTGTGGTGTCGTTTTCCCCGCCAGGAATTCAACTTGATCGACAGGCGGGAGTTGGCTCCTCTGCAGGAACTGATTGAGAAGCTGGGCTCCAAGGACAGATAAAACTTTCCCCGGGAGGCCCCTTTCGGCCGCTCCTTTCCGCTTTGTACACCAGCCACGTCTACGCTTCGCCTTCAGCGACGCAAGCCCCGAGCCGCCTCAGTCTCAAGAGGGCGCGCATCGCTTC